AATGTAAATTAGTAGTGCAAATTGTGTTAAATATTTAAACTTTTAAGATTCATTAGCTATTTATTTAATTAGTTCTTTTTTTTTGTTTTTTGTTTCGCTATTTACTACATATACATAGTTTTTATATTTAAATTAGCAAGTCTTTAACTTGAATTCATAATTTATTTTTTTTTTGTGTTCACATTACTTTACTCCTCACTTTCAATGAATATATGCTCTATATCTATTTAATTGTTTTTTTTAACTACTACAAGGAGTACGACAACACTTAACACAGAATTCATATATAATATTGTTATATAATATATATATATATATATGTATAATATGCAACTTTTTAGTTACTTCTGTAATGAATACGCTATTTGCCTGTTTCAAAACGGTCTTTCCTTATGAAATATCGATCTACAAACGAAACAAAAGATTTTTTAAGTACAAAAGTAAGAGAACAACGATCTCTTCAATAAATAACTTTAACGTACAAAACTAAAACAATCATTTCATTTGTATTTTATTCTGCCCAATCGCGACTGATTTCTACATATTTGTACATGTTCTACGTATAAACGAACATATTTTACTTTTCACGTTATCCACTGCGAAAATACATTTTCGATTTTGTAATGCACGTACGATACATTAGGTTGTATCACTTGCAATACAAAATGAATAAATAAATCGATACGGGGTTTCCCTCGGAATTATAAAATCTAGCACATTTTGAGATTTCTGCCAAAATATTTTAGAACACTATTAAGATTTACGTGAACAGGACCGATTTAGGTACATACCTTGAGAGTTTTTTATAAATAAAAGATGTTTAATTTTTATTTTTTTTCAAAGTTTAAGCTTAATGATTAGGCATTTGCCCAAATTTTGGTGCAAATCGTATCCAAATGGTATTAATTCACAAATATTTTTATTTATCCCAATCACGAAAAACAATTTGTTCAAATTTTTCAATACTACATAAAAAATTGTCATTCTAATTGTTATATTTTGTACCAATAGCCCTATGAAAAAAATTTACAAATCTGTACAAATGTATCTATCGTGTGACACTGCCCTTAGAAGAAGGCATAAGAATATTTTTTCAAATTTCATCAACGGAATCAAAATAATGACATTTTTGGAGGTATTTTTAAATCAGTTCAGCTCACGCAAATCCTAATATTTTTCAGAAAAATCTTGACGGAAGTCTAAAATATAACCAATTTTTTCCGGTGGAATTGCAACAGAAATTTTTTTTTGGTGAGGCACCCTAATGTACACATATGCATGTACATATCCTTATGCCTGCTTCTTTTCCAATATTTTTATCCTATCGTCGCTTCTATTATCCTGTTTATTAATTACACCTTTTTTAATTAAGCGAATATAAAATTGATACACAAGAATAAAGTTTATCTTATTGCGTAAATTTTTTTATTTTGTCTTTTCCAGTATTTATTTTAAATTTTATATTTTACAAAATATTTTGTACATTTTTATTGTTTAGCAATTTGTATAATTTATCATTCATTTATCTTTTGCATTGCTAAAATTTCATTTCGCCACAACTCAACGATTTAATTTACGCACAATTAATTTTTAAAATCGCTAAATTGCCTTTTATATTTTGCGGAAGTTTTTTCCTCACTTCATATTTTTTTGTTTTCTTCTGAAATGTTGATTAAATTTTCATAATTGCTGTGGTTTCATTGCCTTGATTTTAATGTAAGTCGATATTTGAGCAATGCGCGAATTTTAGAGTAAACAAGAATAAACACTTCAAAAAAGTATGTTAACGGTATTTTTTATTTTTTTTTCTAAAAATGCGACATTACTATCCTTTTGCTTTTCCAATAAATACTTATATAATGAGCAAAATTGGCATTCTCTAGTTATGTATATTTGGCGCCATTAGCCTTCCTTCACGCTAATAAACTCATAATAAAACTACTTTGGCTATTAAATGTTTAAAATATTAATTAAAGAAATAAATATATAATAAATAAGAACTATGTTTCAATTAAAAAAAAAAAAATCGAAAAAAAATGTTTTGGTATGAATATATTTAAGAAAATGCACGCACGCATAGATTAAGTTTTTTTGAAATAATCGCATTTTTAAAGCTTTAAAAGACTCCTCTTTCTGTTAAAAAACTGGATAAGTTTATACTTATCAAACGATTTTATTAGGTCTTCTCATTCTTTAAAAAAAGGTTTTAGATAATCTTATATAATTATTTTAAATAGCTTAGGTGAGGTTAGACGGGCAGCTCTGTTTAAAAATTTAATTGGATGCCGACTGCCCTATTTTAATGCCCAACTAAGAATTTCCTTAGACCTCTTTCCACTTCACTTACGCCATTTCAAACAGCGTTTCTCATTCCCGCAGTGTTGAAGCTGGGGGTAACGCTTCGATTTCTCGCCGAAGGACGGTATCAAAGATCTGTAAGAATTGACTCGAATATCGCTTTGGGAAGAAGCACCCTCTTCAAGGTGAATACAAAATTGAATACCCTTATGGAGCGGAGGATGAAATTGTTAATGTCTGAGCAAAAGAGAAGAGCCGTCAAAAGTTCTCTCTACCACAAGACGGGTCTTCTTTATTAACAGAAACGAAATTTTTTGTATTAATGCGATGATTGTGGATTGTCAAAATGACTTAATTTTATATGAAAAAATTTTTGTAAAATTAATTTCTCATTTAGACATGACGGCTTTATTTGGAAAATAAGCAATGTAAGAAATTCTTTTATGAACGCAATTCGTGGTTATTAGGCGATGCCGGGTATGCTCTGGAACCTTTTCTCTTAACACCGTATAGTACGTTGCTAACCGAATTGAAAAAAGTCACCAAACCAAAAAAAAAAATGTATTACCAAATTTTAAAACAAAATGAAAACTTGCTCCAGGCCTTAACAAATTACATACATAATATACAAAAATCTTAAGTTTTCCTTCACAATATAAGTATATAGTCGTCTACAATATTTTCATAAAAAAAGTCCCTAATAGATTTAATGCAATATAATAAGTCTCGAAAAAATGCCATCGTTTTTTATGTGCTCTGTTACCAGCTGAGTATTTATGTATACAAGTACATAGTATATACTTATGTAAGTATTTGTGTAACCAAAGTAGCTGTATAGAATATGCATTTGTATCGCTGTTTGTATATAAGTTGTTATTGTAAGTTTATATTGTATTGTGTATATGTATGTATGTATGTATTCATATAAGTAAATATGCATGTAGGAAGATATAAAAAATGTGAGGTTATTTTTTTTTAATTTTTACCGGTGTGATGAATTCAAATAAATATATGTATGTATGTATGTATTTACTGTAGAGATTTGTATCAAAAAAATATTACTTTTCACGTTAGGTATAGCGTATTCTATTTTCTCCTT